ATGTGATTTTCCTTTCTGTTATGTAAACATTTCTGGAATTTTACTTCTGCTATCTTCTATATGGTTATGGAGTTTTAAATCTATAATTTTTTACATTTATGCTATTTTTTTGGTATAGCTCTGCAAGACCAAATTTCATAATTAATAATTTTTTTAAAAGCAAGTTAAATCCTTACAGTAAACACTCATTTATACCTAAATGGTATATTCCAAGATTTAATATCTTTTTTTTTGTTGTTTTTTGCTGGACTTTCTCTGCAATAGTCCATCATGTGCCTCTCACATTCTACTATCTCAGGTAACCCAGACCTAGATAGACACTTCTTATGAAGTACAAGAGATCACCTAATCCAGTAACTATCCCATTCTAACCCACGAGAAAATTTAACATGCCTTAGATTCACCAGGATAAAAAGCTGTGCCTTCTGACCACTGGGCAATGAGTTTCCACTGTGAAGTCCATCTCTCATATGACAGGAATTTAAGTTTTAATCCAATTAACAGATCATTTTCAAGAGCTGCTGGTGCTAAGAATCTTGTGCTTTTATTTTTAAAATGAAAATCACTTTTGAGGCTGGGCGTGGTGGCTCACACCTGGAATCCCAGCATTTTGGGAGGCAGAGGCAGGAGGATGGCTTAAGCCCAGGAGTTGAAGACCAGTCTGGGCAACAAAGAGAGACCCTGTCTCTAAAAGGAGTTAAAGAGAAAACTTTCATGGTGGCACATGCCTGTAGTCCCAGCATGTGCTGCGACTCTCCGAGTCCTGAGAGGGAAGAACGGGTTGAGCCCAGGAGGTCAAGGCTGCAGTGAGCCTTGTTTATGTCCCTGCACTCCAGCCTGCACAATAGTGAGACCATGTCTCAAAAACAGAAACAAAGACAAAAGAAGAAAAGAAAATCACTTTTGAGATTTGGTTTTTCTGTCTTTTGTAAAATGAAAATCTTGGGGCCCCAAAATTACTAAACTAACAGGAGAAGTCAAGCTGGGAACTGCTCAAGGAAAACCTGCCTCCCATTCTGTTCAAAGCCATCGCGTTGCTCACTGAAATAGAAGCACATCGGATTGCCTCCTTTGGAAAACCCGATCAGAAACTCTAAAGAATGCAACTATTTGTCTCTCACCTACCTGAGACCTGGAAGCCCTGTCCGTGTTTCAAGCTGGAGCTGTCCCCACTTTTCTGGAAGGAACCAATGGACTTCTAACATATATTGATTGAAATCTCATGTCTCCCAAAAGTGTATAAAACCAAGCTGTGCCCCCACCACTTTGGGCACATGTCATCAGGATTTCCTGAGGCTGTGTCATGGGTGTGCATCCTCAACCTTGGCAAAATAAACTCTCTAAATAATTTCAGATATTTGTGGTTCACACCTTACATTGTAAACATAAACTTTTTTAGAACAGTTTTTAATGTACAGAATTATTAGATAGATAATAAAGAGAGTTGCTGTACCTCTTACTGAGTTTTAACTATTACTAGTGCTTTATGTTAGTATGGGGCACTGGTCACAGTTAACAGGCCAACATTGATATATTATAGTAACTAAATCTGTACTGTGTGCAGCTTTGCACAGGTTTTCCCTGTCACTTTCTCTTCCATAATCGCATCCAGGATCCACCTTACATTAAGTCATTGTGTCTCCTTGGGCTTTTCTTGGTTGTGACCCTTTCTCACAACCAAGCTTTCCCTGTGTTTAAAGACCATAATCGTTTGTCAGGAGTACCCCTCAGATATTTTGCAGATTATCCCTCAGTTGATATTTGTGTGATATTTTCCTCAAAATTAGATTTGGGCTAATGCATTTTTAGGAGGAAGACTACGGAGGTAAAATCCAAAGTTCATCACATCCTGTCAAGGGTACATCCTATAATACGCTTTATTGCTGTTGATGTTGACCTTGGTCACTTGGCTGGAGATAGGGTTTGTCAGGTTTCTCCACTGTAAAGTTATTTTTATTCTTTTCCTATCCATATTGAACTATTTGAGAGAAAGTCATGAAACGCAGCCCACACTTAAAAAGTGGGAAGTTGTTCTCTACCTCCTTAAGGATGGAGAAGCTATATAAATTATTTGAAATGCTTCTGTATACATATTTGTGTATTTTCATTGATTCATTTATTTATTTAACATTTATTTTTATCTATATGGACTTAAAGATATTTATTGCATATTTTAGATAATGACCCAATACTGCCTTATTTATTTGGCTGCTCAAATTGTTCTAGCTTTGGCTACTGAGAGCTTATCTTTTTGACATACTTCCATCATTTTGTGTGTGTGTGTGTGTGTGTGTGAGAGTACTTTCTCACTTTTTGGCACTACTAGATGCTCCAGCTTATCTTGTACATTTCCTCCCTCAGTCCTAGGGAGCCCAATCATTTATCCAGAAACCCTGGTTCTTCATTGGAGAATGATTTTAGAAACCAAGACTGGGGTGGTGGGTGTGTTAATTGCTACTGAGTGTCATTGCTTCTAAGTCCTCTCAGCTGCCAGAGTAGAGAAATATATGTGTTTACAATAACATATATATATGTGCAAATATGTGTGTGTATATATGTATATATATTCATATATATACATCTATATATTCATATATATATATATATATGAATATGAGCCAGGCATGGTTGCTCACACCTGTAATCTCAGCTACTTGGGAGGCTGAGGTGGGAGGATCACTTAGGTCCTGGAGGCTGAGGCTACAGTGAGTCATTATCTCACAACTACACTCCAGCCTAGGCAACAAAGTAAGACTTTGTCTCAGAAAAAAAAAGAAATAAATTAATAAACAGAAATATATATCAACATTTCTGTATGTAGCCTTCTGTATACATAGTAAGGTAAACATGAGTTCATACTGATGTCTTCAACTTTAATACGTTACGCATGGATTATTCTAGCCTCTCTTCCCAGCTTATCGGTAAATTGCCACACCAGCAGTGAGAAACCTGGCTCCCATCATGCATTTACTTTACTGTTCATTTCCAGAGTACATATATAGTGGTTTCAGAATTGTTAACCTGTATGCCCATGGAAAGCAAGTTTATCAACTAGAGTATAGTGCATCGGCATAGCTCCTTTAGTTTGTGATTTAACAAACTCCACTCATTTTCAAAGTTAGTTAGGTCAGCACCTTATTTCCTCCCCCTTCAGTGAGGTGGTTTTATACATCTATAGCACATTTATGTTCTTTTCTGTATATTGCCTTTCATTCTGGGATTCTCCAACTTCCTAACTGCTTTTTTTCATTTACATACATTAAAGTTTATGCTGTGGTATAAAAGTCTATGGGTTTCGACAAAGGCTTAATGTCTTGCGTTTGCCATGATAATATCATACAGAATAGTTTTACTGCCCTAAAATATTCCCTGTGCTTCAAACAAGCAACCCACCCTCCACTTCCAAACTTCTGAAAATTGTGCTTTTTTGAAACTCTAGACTGAGGCTAAACGTCTCCAGAATTTGACATCAAAATGAAAGGCATGGGAAATAGACTATTTCTCCCATAAAGGAACTGTTTTAAACAAAGTGGACATTTAATGAATGGTGATGTCACGTTTCTTAAATATACAAGTGTTGTGGAACTTTATTTTTATCTTGTTAGTATTTGTCTAAATAAAAATAAAGCACAGTATCTCATGTTGGAGAAAAATATAATTGAAAGAGGTAGAGATGATGAATGAATTTGAGAGATAAAGGGTGAACTGACAGATCATATTGATTTTATGTTTCTAATTTTCAAAATAGGATTGAAAACATTTTCTTGGGTCATATCTCAATAAATTTAAAGTTGTTACTTATTTTTTTCTAGATAAGAGCTATCTTTCCTTTCCCCTCTCCTTCCTTTTCACCCTTCACCCTCTCCTTTCTTCTCTTCTTTACTTCCTCCTACATAAATGTTTACCCAGTAAGTCCCTATTTTGTGCAACGCATATAATAGATGCTAGGAATGCATAGGTGAAAAAAGTTATCCATGACCTCAAGGACCTTTTTTATTACTTTTGAGGAAGGAAGAGATGAAAGTATAATCATCACATGTTAATTATTCTATTGGTGTAATAGGCACATAAAGGAATAGAGGAGTAACTCTGCCTTGGAGGATCAGGGAAGACTTCCAGTAGAAGTGAAGTGACCCCAGAGCCTTGAAGGAGGAGTGTTAATGTTTAAGACAGATAAAGAAATGCAATGTAGAGCTACCAGTTAATTATAGCTGGAGTGGTCCAGGTGGGATTAAGAGACTGGTGTGATAGAACACATTAGACAAGTATGGATCATGAAGGGCTTTGAGCTTAAATCTTACCCAGGGAATCATGAATAGAGTCACTGAAAAATTATAAGCAAGGTAGTAATTACATCATATGGCATCTTTAAAAGCGTGCTCTGGCAGGTGACTGGCGGGAGAACTAGACAAGATATGAAACATGATCCTGGAAAGCTTCCCAGATGGCTATTACTACCCTCAGGGTGGGAGATAATGAGGGTCTGCTTTAGTTCAATGACAGAAGGGAAAGAGCAGCAAGGAAGTATATGAGAAATATATTAACAAACATTGGAAAGTGAGAAGGGGAAAAAGGCAGGGAAATAATACTAGACAGCAAAATCGAAGATGTTCTCTATATCCCATTCATCTTCATTCTCATTAAAGGGAATTTGAAACCTTGATGGCAAAGAAGCACATTTTATGAAATTTTATATTGAATATTTCATAATTATGTTTCTACGAATGAGTGTCAACACTTCCATAAAAATATTGATTCATGAGGAACACAGTTCAGATATTTCTTGACTCTAAATGTTATTAAAAGAATGTAAAAAATGAGTTCAGAATTTGTAGTATGTCTGTGACATGAAAATGAATTTAGAGTTCTCCTTTTTTTAATGAGGAAATTATTCTGATGGTTTTTGAAGATGCAATTCATAAAGATTGAAGTGATCACCCAAATTAATGTTCATGATATCAAAACAGAGTTAAACCTAAAATAAATTTGTTCTCTGGCAGGATGAATCCTTAAAGCAACTGCAAGTAGTTCATCAACCATGGATCTTGCCAAGTGACACAGAAAGTGAAGGAGTGGAAGCAGAACAAGAGAAACGTGAGTAGACACTATTATTCATTGACAAATTTCTTTCACCAGAAGGAAATCCACAATAAAGGCATTTCACTTTCATAGCAATAAACAACTTCTGTAAAAAAAAAACAAAAAAACCCAGACTATTAGGAAGCCATGTAAAGACAAGCTATTCTTTAGGTCTATGTCTTGATTCAGTAACATCTTAATTTTGGTGCAAAGACTCATAAACTAACCTTGTAAAAAAAAAGGAATTATTCCTCCTGAAGACCAACATAGTCTGTCTGGTCGGAATATGAATCTTCTACAAAGAGTGTAGAGTTAGATCAGTAATAATTTGTAATTATTTTTAAAATTTCAAAGTATGTCAGGATCAGCTGATAATTATATATGAAATTATCCTCATTAAATGAATATGTTTACATATGTAAACACGCTGTTCTAAGTTCACAAAACAAGTTAATATTATAAGATAAGACAAATAGACTAATAGCTTTGGCTTAAGTCACTGTCTTTAATAACGATAAGTGAATCACAATACTAATGCCATGGCTTAGTGCCTGCTCTCCAGGGTTTATTGAAATTGTAAGACATATGGGCCCAGAAATCTAGCTGAGAAATTAGTATCAAATTTTATTTATTTATTTTTACTAGTGTTAGCCCTGAGATAGGAATGACAATTGAATGTGATAATGTAGCCCTCATGATAATTGGTGTGAAATGAGAATAAATAATTCTCCTGAGCCATAACCATGAGACATACCTATATGTTACACAGGTAGTATTATAATCATGCATCTGGGAAATCCAGGAAATTACACTTCCAGGTTAAAAGGCATTTTAAAATGTTCTATCCCACTTCCATAGCTGCAGGCTTATGTGGCCAGAGGGAGCACAGGCATGAGAGTGAATGCTCAGGTTAGAGGAGGGGGATGGAGGCCAAGGTTCACTCAGCTGTCACATTCAGAAATAGAGTGAAAAACACAGTGGTACTTTACAGATTCTATTGAAGGAAAACAGCACTCATCTTCTATAGAAAACAACTGATAAAGGCACAGAAAGTAGAATGTACTTTAAGCAAGTACAAAAGCAAAGAGTATTTTGGAAGTCCCTTAATGCAAGCAATTCTAAGTAAAATGGTCTGGAAAATATATTAGTGTGGGATACAGAGAAAAGAATCCCCAAGTCTTAGAGTATTAATAGTGGCCCAAAAGTTTTATGAAAAAAATGCAAACACACTCACATGCCTCCATCGTCCCACATATTTAAATGACATAAGCGCTCAATCTAGAGTTTGGCTGTAGTGATTTTTGTAAGGGTTATTGCCGAGTTTAGAATGAGGAAACTGAGACCAGCATAAGAAAATTAAATGCCAATTTATTTAGCTCCCGGGCGAGGTTTCATGGTCCTGGGGGAAGGGGCCAGGGAAGTCGCGCTTGACTCCTCTGGGCGTGGAGGTTTATAGGGAGTGAAGGTGTTTTGATTGGTTGTGGAGAAACTGGACGTGGTTGGGGCAAGCTGCTATTGGTAGGTAGGCGGGATTTCTGGTGAGTGGGCCACCCAGGGGAGTGGGACCTGGACGGAGCAAAATGCTATTGGGCAGGTTTTGGTGGGGCTTCTTTTAAACTTTGGCAGGGTTTTCCAATGGCAGGCTAGGTGCCGGGTGCAGAGCGTGATGTCCGACGGGGAGTGGTGATGTAGTGTCCAGGCGCCGAGAGGGATGGGCGTGTCTGAGCTCCTGGTGAGGCAACCAGCCTTACAATTTTCACCAAATTCTTTTGAGGCCTTCGAAAATTTCAATTTAAAAAAACCTTCAAGCACTGTGTGTGTGTACTGTATAAACACAATATAGGAAAATGGGCTAGTTTTACTGTTAGATTCTACAAGAGGTGCCCAATGTGGGCAAAACTGGTAAACAACATCCTTAGAGAATGCAGACATGTTATTATATGAGTGTGCTATATTTTATAATGAACTAAAACTTAGACAAGGAAAGAATTCATCAAAATAGCATACTATATTCCATTTCAAATTTAGACCTTTTTTCTTTTCCTTAAATCCATATATCTCCAGTCAATATTAATAGTAGAAAACATAGCCTAATCATGTAAAGGATATGCAAATTCCCAGAACTTTCTTCAGCCCTTGTCATCTAATACACATTGCCTTTCTGCATGTATTTTTACAATATTTTGGCAGTAAGTTTTAATTTTCTTCTCTTCTACTAGGGTGCAAGTTATTTGAGAGAAAGGGTCTATCCCTTTTTTTCATCTTATTGAGACACATAATAAGCCCTCAATAAATATCAGAAGAATTAGTAAATGAATGAGTAAATTAACGAATAGATTTGTTTTTTTCAACTTGTTTATCAGGACACTTAGAAATTAAAAAATAAAACAAAATAAATGACAATTATAACTATAAATAATTGTTATAAAAGTTATTTATACTTTTATTAAAATTTTAATATTGGATTTGTAGTGTATCCTAGATTTTGCTAAATGGTTTATCAATCACTCTAAAGAAGGCCATTCTTAAACTTTTGTAACCGCAGACCTAGAACTAAAAATATTTGATCTCCGCAATATTGTACTGGGAGATGACCCTTGACAATGGTAAATTGCTTGAAATAAAATCAGGGTTTAAAATAATTGGGTGGTAATGGAAGCCATCTGGAGATGGAATGCTAGTTAGCATTGTAGCCAAGCTCCTAGCACAGAGATGCAAATATTTTCAAGAATGGCTTCTATCAGCCAGGTTCTAGGATAGCATAAGTTGTAGCCACTGAAGCACTGGCACCTCCACTGAAACTTGCAGTCAACGCATATGTGGTTTGTAGAGCAGCTGGATAGATATGCATAGATCATCTACCTCTTTCTTAGAAAGGAAATAAATGACATAAATCTTTGTAAGCCCAGTATCCGATTTAGAGTTTACAGGCTCATATCCTAGAAACTTATGAGTGAGTAAGATGACAAGTTTATCATTTCAACAACACCTGTTTCTTGACTCAGCTTTCTATAAATTATGCCTATGTAATTTTATGGAATTCTCTAATTTCCCTTTGGACAAAATCATCTTGGCAGAAAGTTTCCAAATAATGTCAGGGGTAGTGCGTTTTTTTATTGCATCATTTAAAAATAAGACTTAGCTCAAATAAATTTTTCTAAATGAACACCTTAAGAAAAGATACTGTGAACAATTAAATAGGGAGATTTATAAACTTTTTTTATAAGCAAGATAAGTAGAACCCTTGATTAAATAGATTTTTTTCTTTACTCTGCTTTTAATTAAAAAGTATAAATTCAAGTGTGAAAAAAGTTGTGTCAGGGTATGTTTGTTTCTAATCTCTCAGGTTATGGCCTGAAGTCACTAAACAAATCAAATTCCAAATATTTGAATCTATTAGGGTACTTGTTTAATATTCATATTCTGGGACTCTACTTTAGACTCTACTGAATCAGAATCTCTGTGATTGGGACTCTGAATTCTGCATTTTTCATACTTTATCTGTTAATATTTGTTTATTCTAAAAGTTGAGAACTAGAAGAAAATGTTCAATGAATCAGAGGGTTATGTTTTTCTCATTGGCTTCATAATATTATTAAACTTTGAGTCTTCTTTTTCTAGTCTTCTTTCCTCATCTATAAATTAAGTTTGAGTATAAAACGTGAGATTGGAGAAAAAGGAAGGCTGAAATTTGAAGGAATATACATGAAGAAGACACAAAAGACAGTGCATTAGTTTGTTTTCACACTGCTATAAAGAATTACCTGAGACTGGGTAATTACAAAGAGATCTAATTGACTCACAGTTCCCCATGTCTGGGGAGGCCTCAGGAAACTTACAGTCATGGCAGAAGAAGGAGAAGCAAGTGCTTTCTTCTTAAGGTGGTAGGAGAGAAAGTGAGAGCAATGAAAGTCACACATTTTAAACCATCAGATCTCATGAGAACTCACTATCACGAGAACAAGGGGGATATCTGCCCCCATGATCCAATTACGTCCCACCAGGCCCCTTTTCTGACACATGGGGATTACAATTTGACATGAGATTTGGGTGGGGACACTGAGCCAAACAATATCAGACCGGTCCTCCAGACTGTGGGGTCAATGCTTACAAAATCAAGACATAAAACATCTAGAATCAATTTAGCTAGTACTCTCCAATTACATTTTAGATTTTTAAAAACACAAATAAACAAACTAAAAACACACAAGCCAACAAACAAGAAATCAAAACATGCCAAACCAACAAAACAATACATGTGTCAAATAAAGAAATAATAGCCACAGTGACAGATGAAAGCTAATGCTGTCATAAAATATTAATACTCCCCACGTGGGTTTGGATCCTGGACTCTTAAGGCCTTAATGTCTGTAACAGTAGGTGATTTGGCCCTGGGTCTCCTTAAGGCAGGGAGATTGAGATGATGACACTGTATAGAGCCTGTCACCTGCAAGGGCTGCTTTAGGTATGAAAAGGGAAACAAAATACCTGTACTTTCCAGCTGTGGAACAAGCCATGAAATTTGCTATGCGTACTAGACTTTGAATGAAAAATATAAATTATGCATAGGGAATCAAACTCTCAGCTCTGTACTTCAGTTATTGGGTTCAAACTTATACTACCTGTATTGTTAGAGACCATAAATAATAATAATTGGCCAGCTTCATTAATATTCACAGGGTCCTCTCATATGGAAATATAAGAACTGGGGCATTTTAGAATTCTCAAAGATTTAAATATCAACTCCTGCTGGAGATGAGATGTCAATCAAATTACAAACTGCATGGAAAGTTGTAGCAAAACAACAAAGTCAGCAAATGCTAGAAACTCTAGAATTAGCATGATCAGAATGGAAAGAAATAAGACAATCAGGAAGAGATTATATTAAAAGTATGCTTAAGATAATTAAAGATATATAAAAAAGGAAAAGGAACCATACTGAAAGAATTCTATAGTAAGGAAAAAGACAAAGTGATATTTAAAAGATTATAAAGAACTTCTCCAAGTAAAAAAAA